CACTTATATCAATCGAAAGGAGACTGCGACCACACCAGAGGCCACAACATCTTGGTCTTCATATATTCAAAGCTATGTAAAATTTAATAAAACGTAATGTCTACCCATTTAGTTATGGAAGAATTCAACTACCAGTGGATAGAGCTCTTATACAAGTTTACTTCAATGAAAATCCCACTACAAAAACGTGATAGGAGATAGGCCTGGCTGGGCTCTGATTTATATACGTCCTTTGACCCATTTACATCCGTAGCAGCGTGGAGTAGTGGCAGCATATGAAGAATCCCATAGTGATATATTGTGACGTGACTTGCCATTTCGAAGGAAAATTTGGTTGGAAGGAATTCGTGGCATGGTCTCACCGGAAACCGAAGGAGGATTGTCGCGTATGGAAGACTGTTGTATTGTGCAAATAAGTCCTCGGCTCACCGTCCTGCGACCCCGATGAATATGTCCTAAGCTTTCGTCCCTACCATCATGAAGGGCATCATCAGACCACACTTTAATCGGGGTCGCAAGACGGTGAGCCGAGGACTTCTTCGTACAATACAACAGTCTTCACTACGCGACAATCCTCCTTCAGTTTCCGCTGCGGCCATAACACGAATTCATTCCAACCAACTTCTCCTTCGAAATAAAAAACCCAGTCAAAGTAGTGGTAGCATGCCGAGTTAAACGCTGCATTGCTGGAATTCTATATTTCCTTTGGGACTGCGGATGAGACTAAGGCGGGGTCGAAACTTTAGTCAAGCCGGAATGAGACTATCTTTTGGGGGCAAGGCCAAGTGACATTTTCAGACACCATGAGGCCTCTTCATATCATTCCGGTAAAATTCAACTATCAGTCCCTTATCACCATTCGTGACCTGAGGTTAACACGGCTCTTATTTTTTTGACAAACTGCACGAAATATAAGAAGATATGCGAACTAGTGAGAAACTGTGGGTTAAGATATGCACCCTTACACTTACTTCGGATTTGCCATCTTTCAAAGATAAACATGATCCATTCCCGAGATCCGGCTGCTACAAGATTGTGTGCTCCTCTAGTCAACCTTATGTCATGGAGACATATGGCTTATTTGATATATATTAAGCAGACACAAACATGCTTGTAAAGGGAGACTGGTTCAACGGTCGAACACTGGCCGGAGGATAAGTATCAGATGAAATGGTCTGAAATGAGTGGATCTTCTGTGAAAAAAGGTAATAGAGGGTAGTGAAATTAATAGATTAGGGAATACGTTGAATGTGAGGATTCGTGATAGAAAGTTCAGTAAGAGCTACTTATGCTTGCTCAAAAAGATTGAAGGAGAGCCAGGGTGTTGAGCCGACTTCCAAAAGAAGCCGTTTGCAAGGCTTCGGACCTTCATTAATCCCCCTTTTATTCCACCGCGCTTGTCAATTGGTCACTGATGGACATAAACATCATTTTCTGGCTGCCTACATATTCGGTGTGCCTATGGGCTCAGTAATCAACTGGGTTGGCAAGTTGGAGGAAAATTTCAAAACCACCTCAACCGTCAACAGTAATTAAGCGATAATTGAATGATTAATTCGCACTATTGTCGCATTTAAAAGAAAAATTAGACCATTTTCTGATCTTTTCAAACGACAAGGATAAAAGGGGCAAACTTATGAAGGATGTAGATGTCATTCGTTCCGAGAAGGCTCAGGAAACGACTGTTCAGAAAGAAATCGCATACTTATTGAATGAAGATTGGAATACTCAGGAGTATCGTCAAAAGAAGACTGTGGCTTGAGGATTCTGAGTTGTGAAAAGACAAACGGTAAAAACTGACTTAGATGTGAAATTCAATGGAAAATCCAACAACCAGTCCTCTTACCACCCTAAACGAAATAGGATGAATACTTCTCATAAAGCTGACTCTGTTTATACAGGTTTTCATTTGAATGTAGGGGCGAATAAATAAATGAGAGAATCTAAGACTACTTGATTTTATGAAAAAATTATGAATTATTTGAGAGAATTCAAAACTTCGTCTCAGCACTCAACAGCACTTAAGCGATATTTGGATGAATACTTCACAATCTGGTCACATGGAAAATAAAAATCAGACGATTTCTTGATCCTTATAAGGCAAATGAATGAAAACGTCAGATTTATAGTGAATGTGGAAAATAACGGTCTTGGATGTATAAGTCATTCGTTCAGAGAAAACTGTCAAGAAGCTACAGGAACAGTC